CAAAATTTTATGGACTCTGTATGATATCTCTTTAATGGCATAGAAAAATATGTGATTTTCTTTACGCGGAACGAATGCACCTTGTAGAGTGAAATCACTAAGCGCTAATGCAACGAATGATCAGACTCCAAATTATTCGGCAATTATAAAACTTTTTAAAACTTAATAATACTCCTTCCTTAAGTAAGAAATATAAAGAAGACGTGATTCTCTATTGATTGACTAAAAGAAAGCACATTTTTGTTTGTGGTTTCTATAAAATATATTTGAATTTGCAAGACCATAGAAAATCAATGGGAAAAATGCATGCTACTTAAGTAGTCATTTTTTTTACCGAGCACGCTTTCTACAGGAGATTGAAAGGAAGTGCTTTTAAAAACCAACATCCTGCCGAGTCCAAAATGTTATAAGAGTATGCCTTAAGATAATCAGTCTGACAACCGCGACCAAGTAATCCTTCCTTATCGAGAACGCATTTCAGAATTTCAGCCAACATTTCATGAGATAGGTCACGCACTGTAGATAGACAACTGCTGCCCATTGAATAAGTTAAATGTTGCATATTTGTCCACTCAGGATTCAGAATTCCCGCATATGTTCTCCTGTAAATACGGCAATTAGAATAAGACCCGACACACCGATGCTTATTTCTGGGCAGGGCCACAGAGGGCATTGCCGAAGGCGGTTTCGGTTGGATTACCACCAAAAGGCATCATCGGGTGAAACAAATGAGCATAGCCAAAGAAATGAGTCAAGAAGAGTCTAAGTGTGGAGGAAGAAGGATTTGTAAGTTGCCTGGTGCAGTTGGCTGCTGTTTTAATGAACAACTTCCAGAAGAGTGTGTAATCGGCTCACATCGATCTATGAATATCATTAGAGAACTGCATGGTGCACATAAACGTAATGACGTCTTCCAACTTCACTTTATTTTCTAGGGATAATCACTCATCTTACCTAAGGCAGATGCTGTAGAACGCTTTGGCTATTTTTTTCTAGAAAAACCAAGCGAAGTCTTACTTGGGCGGCAATACATGATTTTGTTCCCACACTCGTAGTTACACCTACATTTATTTTTCTGACGATGTGACTAAATGTGATCTGCAGACGTGGACCCCAGGTAATGAAATCCCTCGGTTACGCACCTTAAAAGCAAAATGATGCAGAAGCGAATGAAGCGCACAAGTCGTATTTCATTAGAAATTACACCTATACGTACCCAGCTCCTGCACAACAGGCACATCGGCAGAGCTGCCTGGCATAGTGGAGAAAAGGGCATAGTGGGAAAGAGGCGTACAACGGAAGAGGTGTTTATCGCCTGGAGATTCAGGTAACGAAAGAGGCTGCCTATCTGTCTAATAATACTCGTGTGACAATCATCCCACTGAGCGTAGTGCTTGGGTAACGGGTGCTGATTTATGGGAAACGACGCCTTAACTTTAGGATGTGTGCGACTCCCAATGCGTAGCATTACTATAGGCCCCATCCTCCTTCTATTCAGTCGTAGGTCGTATTTTTTGGGTGGGGGCCGGTGTCACCCTTGTCTGTAGCATTGCGTACTGCCGCATTCGCTTTCTACGCCCGAGGTTAAGAGCTGGACGCTGGCAAACATTGAGTGCTCCTGGTCAGACGGAGGCAACTGTGACACAGGCAGATCAGTATGCTGGTCGGCTGACGGTCTTATATTACCCTGTCATCGTTTGCCCTCTTTACGGCCTCGAATCCGTTGATGCTGACGACATATTCCACCTCGGTGGCATGAGTTCGAACCGATAATTCGACTGCCCTTGCCGACAATGTCCACCGTGCGCTCCACAGCAGGGCACGGTAGTTTGCGTTTGAATAAGTTTATAGTAAGGGTAGACTTGCGCAGCACCTACTGTACTATCTTCTCTTCCGGAACCTGGGTCCCTGTTGAGACACAGTCACGAATACCGAAGACGTGAGAGAACGCAGGTGGCTGGCACGGCCCTACCTGCATCTAGACGTGCCACCGCACCCTCTGGTCCACAACAAACATGACTAGGATTTTAACCAAGAGCAAGTCAGGAGAAAGAGGATGACTGGGAAATTATCCACATGGCCTGTAAGCCCAGCAGAAGCGCGAGTGCATCTACCAGCAGGGAATCAGGCGCCAGAGAACGGCCAGCGCGCACCAGGCTGTGAGGACCATGACTTGCTGATCATGGTATAGCAGACGCACACAATCCCCAAGGCAGTAAACGGCAATAACTCGTTTTGGGTCATAAGTTGGGGAAGGAGGTAAAATACAGCAATCAGGCTTCATCGGGGCAGAGTGAACAGCCTAGTTCGGAGGTAAGCGGGAAACATGTTAACTTGTGAGTGCATACAAGGGTAGAGCGAGAGATCGTCGCCTGGACCAATCAGTAGAGGAGGCCTTATTAAACGGTGTGAAGACAGGAACTACGACTGAACAAAGTGTTACATCAGTGACGTCTGAGGTGCCTGAGAAGTGATGTGGATGTGTGGGGAGGCGAGCATGAGAATTCGGATTACAGTCGCAAAGGGAAAATACCTCCACATGAGAATTTGTTTTTCAGCTCTCTTGTGATAAGTATCAGTATAAGGACAACAGTCAGACAAATAGGACTCCAAGTAGACACTTACGAATTGAGGAAGCTCCTTCTGTTAACTAGCTGAGCACAAAAATCGATGTTACTTTTGAGGATCGTAACTGGCAGGTATTTTGAGCTGGAATATGAGCTTTATTCGCCTGACGTTTCGGACTCCTGCGCAAACCCATCATAAGAGACAACAGCAGTTATTGATAGTTCATGCACAAGGGGCTGCAGTATTTATAGGATGCAGTCGCTATGCTACCGCATACCTATGAAAATTCACGACCTCCCCACTTCATCGAGTATTGTCGCACTTGATATAATGACTGTTCGATGGCCACCATTCGCGTCGTTAATTGCGACAATTCCATCACGGGTGTTGGATGTTGATGTGATGATTGCTCGATCGTCTGACCTACCGACCCTGGCGTTGGGAATAGTGTTCACTTGTGCGCTCCCCTCGTGGCTATTTACTCAGCCTAGGCTAAGTCTCAGCATCGAGTATGGAAGGGGAATGGCATTGCACTTGCTTATAGACTGCGGTTCAGTGAACCATGTCTTAAACAGCTCGCGGCTCACGCGGTTGTCATCTCTAGACAGAATTTCGGTCTGATAGAATTTGAATGTGTGGCCGGGTCTCATAAACTTGACAGCTGCCGTCATTTCCCCACACTATTGCTGCGTGTTCAGCCATCGACGTTCAAAACAGTCTCCCGGTTTTTCTGACGTAGTTACTTTTGTCCGCAACTGCACGAGGTCCGAAAAACTACTCCAGACGTTTATTACCGTGGCAGTGGGTCTTTCGACTTCATTAACTAACGCCTGATGATTGTCTCTGGTTTGTGTGCCCCTCCAACCCCAAGTGGTGCGAGAAGGCGGCGGACAGCTTCCGAAACTTTCTTGACATGCGGAAGCGCTCGCCAAAGTGTGAGGTCCATGCGGTTTAGGCCCTTCGTCTCTTTCGCGTGTGCATCGTTTGACGGAGTTGCGCGTGTAGCCATTGGTTCTCAGTGTCCGTCGAAGATATTGTAATTCAGCAACCTTGGCTTCCGGCCCACTGCATTGCGTTTCAACACGCCGATATAACGTTCGTACACAACTGCGTTTGTGGTTGATCGGGTGGTTGCTGTTGAAGTTCAGTACTTGCATCGTGCTCGTCGCTTTACTGAACAGTTAGGTCTTTAGGACAACACAACCATTGCGACAGTCGAGGACATTCTGGAGGGCCAGCTGGTGGGTTTCTTCCTCTTCCATCGTAAATTTTATGTCCGGGAAGATCGCCTTGAGACGTTCTTCGAATGTCAGCATCTGATCCGGTTCGATGACGACGACAGTATCATCCACATACCGAGCCAAAAATTTCGGTTTGTGATGTTTGAAAACCAGTAACGCCGACCGTTGTAGGACCGCCTCGGCGAGGAATCCCGAAATCGGCGAACCCATTGGCGTGTCCTTCCCCTGCTCGTGGAGTGTCCCGTCGAACGTGAAGTACGTCCTGGAACAGAGCTTCAGGAGCTGAAGGACTTGGGCGTGTCTAAGACGATTCTTCGTCTCGTTGTATTCTTCTCGGAAGAGTAGCTCGATGGTCTCGATCGTCAGATCCTGGGGAAGAGAAGTAAAAGGGGACGTAACATCAAAAGATACCATGATTTCATTTAGGTGGAGGCTTATCGCTTTCAGTTTCTCTAGGAATTGTGGTGGCGAAGAGACCGTGGTGCCTGACTCAGTGGTCAGAAACGTTAGACGCCGGAACAGCCACTTTGTCATTCCGTTCGTTGGAGTACCTTTCAGCAACACGATTGGCCAGAGAGGAGCGCCCTCTTTGTGAACCTTAGGGAGGCCATATAATCGGGCTAAAGCCGTGTCTCGGGGTCTCGCCATGCGTCTGTCGGACGGTGGTATTGCACTTGAGTTCTCCAAGGCCAGCAACATAGCATTAATTTCGCGTGTCAGCGTTTTTATAGGGTTGATTGCCCATGGGACATGGAATTGTCGGTCTTCTAGTAAACCTTTGACTTTTTGAAGGTAGTCTGTCCTTTCCAATACAACCATGGAACACCCATTGTCCACTGGCACGATGACCAGATCCTTGTCAGCATTGAGTTCTCTAAGCGCACCACGTTCGGCTTGGGAAAGCACTTCGCGCGGCCTGTGGGCCATGAGGAGAGATGACACTTAGTGTCGAATAAGCTCTTAGTCTCCTCTGTCGCTTCCGTATGACTAACGACTGATTCCACTGCTGCCATCATGTTAACAAGTTTGGCGTCAGCCATGTTAAATGAAGCTTCGTGCCGTAAAACCTGAATCTGATCCTTTGTCAGCTCCTTTGACGACAGGTTGTGCACCAGTTTATCGTTTTTAGACGACGTCGGATTGGGCAGTTATTGGAATTTGTTCTTCAGTGCTGCGTCACGTATCGCTCTCTGTTCGTGAGTTCGTTCATTTACCCTCTGCAGGTGCAGATTTTTACCGATCTCACCCAATGAGCTCACAGTATCTGGTCTTCTTTTGGTCAACACGTTGACGGTAATTGCGAAGTCTCGCGTGTCAATCTTAGAGGAGCACTCGGACCATTCTTCTGCCATACAGTCTACAGCCTTCTCAATGGAGCCAAAACTCAGTGCTTTGAGAAACCAAGTTTTTGAACAGAAATGAAATGCCTCCATAAATCATCTTCCCAAAATGGGTACCCACAGGAATTCGTACGTCAATGCATGAGGCATTAGCGATTCCGAGTGAGAGGTATTTCCTTTGCTACGACGGTACGGGCACCAAAACCAACCACCTGGCGAACTCTCTGATACGTGAAAAATGAATCTAAACTAGTCGAAAGACAGCTAGAAAAACATCAGATAAATATAGCACACCAGCCGGCAATCATCTTATGCAAACAGTTTGTAAAACATAAGGACAGGATCGACTACCTAAGTAGAAAAGGTGTTGTCTACAAATCCCCACATGCTAATCGCGATGCGGTATATTGTGGGTAAACTGCGAAGGCAGCTTCAACCCGTATACATGAACATCAGTTAGCGATGAAGAGATGCAACCACCTATCCTAAGTGGCCATACACACTAGACCCAAATCTGTATGGGAGAATACTCGCATTTTTGGCGCCTGCCCAGTAAGGACAGACCGAAAGTTCCTGGAAGCAATGCACTCAGATGAGGTATGCATCGTCTGCACATTGATCTGGATGCCACATGCAAAATTAGTAAGGACGAATCCAAACTGGCGCAACCAATCCCGAAGAGTTTGCAAGATGCATCTTAAACGTATTGGTACAGACGTTAACAAATCGTAGAATCTTCTGTTAGGTACAGTTAAGAAGCTACTTGTTTTTGCAGACCCACAGTCTGACGGCGAGTTGGGGGGGGAGGTAGTATTGAAAAATGACACGCTAAACGTCACAGTTTCCCAGACATTTTCACCTTGGAATGCCCGTTTTTAAATGTCTGCTCTACTGCATATCACTGAAACGAACGCTTTGACTTGTTTTTTTTGGAGCACATTATGAAAACGCCCTTTTATGTCCAAGGAGCAGGACACACATCAGCATTTGTCTTGTATCGATCACACAAAAAGACACTTCGCTGCACGCTAAGGAGATTCTCCGTGATGCATACACCAGTGCGATTGCCGGTCGCATTTCGTCGAACATGACGTCGAAACTTGTTGGTTGCTGCTCGAAATATTGCGTCAAGAGACTGATGACCATATAAAACCTGTCTCGCGCAACGGACATTGAGTAGGCTTGAGACTCATCTCGGTTTCAAGACCTGCTGTCAATTAAGGATGCATACTAAACATGGGTGGTCTGCCACAGACAACACCGCCGATGTCAAGGTGCGTAAGCTGAAAACCAGTTAGTGAGAGGCATGGATCATGAATTCACAAGTGAAATAATCAATTCAGTCGTTTTCAGCCTGTTTGGATTTAATACACAGATAGGTTCTACAAAATATCTTTTGAGTTCCGAATATCTCCGACGATCTCAAATTGTGGAAATCAATAGAGAAGCCGGAAGACTCTGTACAGTTACAAGACAATCTGCATCGCTTGCAACAATGGTGTGATGAGTGGTGTCTTAGCCTCCGTGGTAACAAATGCCAACTTATCCGATTACGATCGAGCAACAGGAGGCCGTTGAGATTTGAATCTCACTACTTTATTGAAGGTCACGAACCCGAATCAGTCAATCAGTTAAGAGACCTGGGTGTGTGGATGACGTCAACTCTCAAACCATCGTCTCACTGCGCCAAGGTATCAAAGAAAGCTATGGGGATTCTAGGCACGATTAGAAGATCCTTCCTCGACTTGGCGAAGAACTTTTCGGCCGAGTATTTGGAGCACTCGTTTGACCATTGTTGGAATATTGTGTCCAGGCATGGTGTCGCCGGACGAAACAAGATTACACCCTACTGGAGGACGTACAAGGAAGAGCGACCGAGCTAGTCGTCGAATTAAGTAGCTTACCTTATGAGAGACGCCTGGCAAAGCTAAAAATATTTCCTCTCACTTGTAGACAATACAGAGAGGATATGATCATGGCCTTCAGGATCGTCAGAGGGCTAGACTGTGCTCGTCAGTTTGACGATTTCTTTGAAGTGACGCGAACGACAAATCTTCGAGGACACCAATACAAACTGAAGTTAAAATATGCCAGACACGAATTGCGGGCCAAATTGTTCTCCCATCGGCTGGTTGAGGGATGGAACAAATTGCCGAACTCCGTTGTCTTAGCGGAAAACGTTGAGACCTTCAAGAAAGACTAGATAAATTTATGCTTGATGGTCAAAAATTCACACGATATCAATGTCTATCATAACTGCTATGTAAATATCTGAATGTTTTTTTTCAAATGTCAATTCCAAGGATCTGCCTCTATCCCTCATATATAATAATTATACTGAATATGTTTCCCTGAAGGATTACGGGCCAGTAAGGGCCGGAACTTAACAAATACAGTCGTAGAAGATAATGTTAGGGAACATTTTTGCCAGGAATTACTCGTTTAATAATTTATAGGACAGCCTTCTACGAGCAGCCAGGATAAAAAAAAATTGGAATTCAGCAGATCGAGAGAAAACGGGTCGAGTTCATCTGAAAGCACATTAATGAAGGACACTAACGATCTTGGTCTCCAACCTGCTGAGTCAAAGAAAAAGTTGACAAGCCTTCCTTTATACAATAAAGGAACGACAAGTTGCGAAATAACGCTGTATGATTATAAAATGGATATCGAAAACTTGCAGGAAAGACTTCCGATGGACCCTTCGAGCGTATAATGAACAGTTACATCGTCAAACTATGATAAAAAACAAACGACATCAACCGCTTTTGGTCTCTGCGACTTTCGCCTGCAGGTTTTTGCCAAACTTCTCTTTAAAATGCTTTGCTTTGGGTAAGTTGTGGTTTTGTAGCCCCACCTGATGGACACAATACTGGTGGGGTTAGGATCAGGGGTTAAGTTAAGGGTCAGGGTAAGAGGTTAGGGTTAGGGGTTAGTACAACTATTTCTCAACCCCTCAAAGTACAACCGCGCATTTCCAATAGCTTTTCCTTTGCCTACAACTAATTGACCTCGTCGCCTGTGCCTTCCTTATCCCACTTGCAAAAACCCCTATTACCAGCGGTCCCGTATTACAGGTGACTGGGGTTTGCTTACTCCAAGTGGGGCCACATAACCGCATCTGACCCTGCTCTTTGTACCAAAATAACAGACAACCATAATCTTTTAAAGTAAATTAGGACGTCGACTTCCCCTACCATGGAAAGCCAGGACTGTTCATTCCTAGGAAAGATTAGGTGGCGTGTAATGGTTCCATAGCTATAAACTAACATCGGCCTCAACGCAATAAGGGGAGATTCCCATACCTTAAGCCAGCTTATAGGATATGAAACAAGCTGGCTTTGCCTGGGAATATCAAATGCCTCGATTAGAGGTCGTGCAGGGGTAGGAGTAACTTATGATAGGCTAAAATCGTACTCGTTACCATTTTTTAAATCCAAGAACTTGTATATTACAGCATCCCACTGTTAGACCGTCTCAAGGCGACGACGTCCGGTGCTGTCTCAAGAGGTGAGCATAAGGGGGACTTGGGTATGAACTTGTTTATAGTAAGGTACACCTGCGATGCATCTACCTTGCTCACTCTTCTCACATAACCTGTGTTCTGACGGCAAGACAGGGTCAAGGGGACCGGAGACGAGATCGGACGTAGAAGGTGACAGAGCTAAATGACTCGTCTGCGCCTATTACAGACAACTTGGATTCCACTCCATATGTACCAGGCAGCATTTGTTTTGAGGTTTCAGATGGCCTATGGGTGAGAATGTCAAAAAGGTACGTTTAGAAAGAGCCTTGCAGTCCGATCCTTAGTCTAGAGAGGGGTGGAGTTACCGCGTCAGTTAGCATCCCTCTAAGCCGCGACTCATAGCGATTCTGATTGATTACATTTAGAAATGAGCTGATGTGCACTGAGGTCGGATCTGAAATATCGACTTCACTCTCTACTCCCCTTACTTGCACCAGTAGGCTGTCCGAGTCTGTCAGCTAACGGGTGGTGAGAGTGGGCGAAGCAGCTGACGTGGCGTGAGGGCCTGCATCTAAGATGTGCCACACGTGTTCGGCAGTAGTTAAAGGCAAGAATACGCGATCGCTGGAACAGAAGTTTTATTCCCCTGACTTTCTGGATTCACATACGAACTCATCTTCAGAGACAGAAGCACTGCCAGTGGTTGTACCTGCTGCGATAAGTGCATGTTTGCCCGTAACCATATCATTATTTGTCACATATTTATTATTACATTGGTGGCTAGCCGGACAATTACTCGGCAGGGTGACTCACCCACGATGGTACAGGAAACACCGTTCGACTGCACATTCTCAGTATGTGCAGTTAATCTGCCCAGAAAGCCTTCAAACTGAAAATGAAGAAGGGAGGTCATTGCGCTGATAACTAGCCAGCGGGCCCGATAAAAATGATCCGTGCATTTCTTCTTGGGATCATCGTTCTGCTCTAAAGCACTGCAATTCACGGAGTGGGGAACTGATTGTTTCGATGTTTTAAAGTTCTGATCACTGGTTCAGACATCGCGGTCGGTTTGCCCAATAAAATTCGTGGAGCAATTTAAAGGACAGACGAAATGTATTTAA